TTATTTGAGAGAGAGAGAATGAGAGAGAGCACATGAGAGGGGGGAGGGTCAGAGGGAGAAGCAAACTCCCTGCCGAGCAGGGAGCCCGATGCGGGACTCCATGATCATGACCTGAGGCAGTCGCTTAACCAACTGAGCCACCCAGGCGCCCTAGATCTCTTATATTTTGAGTAAATTATTTTTAAATATTTTTATTTTTTAAAGTAATCTCTACACCCATCGTGGGGCTTGAACTCACAACCCTGAGGTCAAGAGTTGCATGCTCTACTGCACGCCATCCAGGTGCTCCTTGAGTTAATTTTTGTGTATTTTGTGAAGTGAGGGTTGAGTTGTTTTTTTTCCCATATACATATCTAGACTGTTCATTTCCCATTGTATTATCTTGGCACATCTGTTGAGAAACAATCGACCGTATAGGCATGTATATATTTCTTCACTTTCTGTTCTGTTCCATTGATTTATATTTAATTGTATGCCAGTACCATCTTGTCTTAACTACTGCCGCTTTATAGTGTGTCTTGAAATTGGGTAGTATAAGTCCTCCAACTTTGTTGTTTTTCAAAACTTCAGGACCTTTGCTTTTCCATACAAATTTTAGAATCAGCTTGTCTTTCTACAATAAAATCTGCTGGGATTTTGACTGGGATTGCACTGAATCTGTATATCTGGAGAATCAACATCTTAATAATATTGAGTCTTTGGATCCTCGTGTATGATATATCTCTCTATTTAATTAGGTCTTCAGTTTCAGTACTGTGTTATAGTTTTGGGTATACTGGTCTTACACATGTTTTGTTAAATTGATCCCGAGGTATTTGAAATTTTGATGCTATTATAAATGATATCAATTTTTTTAAAAATTTCAATGTCCAATTATTTATTGAAAGTGCGACAAATAGAATTAACTTTCATATATCAACATGTTGACCTCTTATCCTTCAATCTTGCTGCACTTATTCTAGTTCCTTTCGATTTTTTGGGATTTTCTACATAGGTGATTATGTTGTCTGGGATAAGAGAGTTATATTTTTTCCTTTCCAACCTGTAGGTCTTTTTGCACGGACTAGGACTTCAGCATAATGTTGAATAGAAGTGGTGAGAGGGGTTACCCTTGCCTTGTTCCTTATCTTAGGGGGAAAACCTTCTGAAAATGCGGTGTTAACTGTAGATAGTTTGTGCTTGTGTTTTTTAAGGAATCTCTCCACTTTATCTAAATTGTCAGTTTGTTGGCATGAAGTTGTTCATAAGTTCCCTTATCTTTTTAATATTTGTAAGTTCTGGGGGTGCCCAGATGGCTCAGTCGGTTAAGCGTCTGCCTTCGGCTCAGGTCATGATCCCCAGGTCCTGGGATTGAGGCCCCCGAGTTGGGCTCCCTGCTCAGCGGGGAGCCTGCTTCTCCCTTTCCCTCTGCCCCTCCCACTCACTCATGCTCTCTCCCTCTCCCCCCACCCTCACTCAAATGAATAAATAAAACCTTTAAAAAATTCTTTTTGTAAGTTGTGTAGCAATGTCACGCACTCCTTCCTGACAGTGGCGGTTTTTGTTTTCTTCCTGTTTTCTTGATTCGTATAGCTAGACGTTTGTCAGTTTATCAGTCTTTTCAAATAATTAACTTATTGAAGCCTGTGTTATGGCCCAGGCGTATTCTCAATGAGTATGCCATGTATACTTGGAAAGAATGTATATTCTGTGGTTGTTGGGTATTGTGTTGTATAAATATTTAATTGATTTTTAAAAATTATCTGTTTTCTAAATAACTGATTTTTGCTTTATACTATTTTTTCCCCTTCTACTTACTTAAATTCATTTTGCTTTTCCTTTTTCTAGCTTCTTACACTTTGATCACTGATTTTAATCTTTATTCTTTAAGCGTTTAATACTATACTATGCATTTTTCATTAAGTACTGTCTTAAGTGTGTCCCACAAATTTGAATATGCTACATTTTCTTTATCAGTTAGGTCAAAAGATTTTTCTGTTTCCTTTGTGATTTTTTCTTTGACCCTTGGGTTATTAAGTGTGTAGTCTACTTTCCAAATATTTGGGGGTTTTCCATTATCTTGTTATCGATTTCTAGTGTAAGTCCATGGTGCTATTAGAATATACTCTGTGTGATTTTAGTTGTTTTAGAATTATGAATTCATGGAACTTTTGGGAACCGGAAGTTATTTGATTGTAAAATTAGGGCATTGATTGAGCCTCTGAGTTAATTTTTCTTCCTGTTTCAGGTGAGAGATCAAGCCCAGCGCTGTTCACGGGTTCTCCTGGATATTGAGGCGGGTGCTCCTGTTCTCCTTATCCCTGAAAGTTCCAGATCAAATAATCTGATTGTAGCAAATTTGGGGAAGTTGAAGGTCAAGAACAAGTTTCTCTTTGCTGGTTTTCCTGGGACCTTTTCCTTACAAGATAAGGTAAGCAATCAATATCCATTCCCTTTTCGGTCCAACTATTTGAGCGCCAGTTGAAGATTTCATATGTTGCCAACAAGGTGACTTGTAACTGCTGTTACTTTTGTGGTGTATGCAGCTTGAACAATTTTTTTTGACATTTTATTGACATTTCAATTATCCTTTTAATGGAGATAGTGTAAATTATAACCTTTACCAGTTGTATGCAGACAACCAACAGAACCAACCTTCTGTCTGTATAATGCTTTTCTCACAGGCTGACCTTATAAATGATCAACTTTTTACATGACCTATTTTTTTCAGCAGATGGGATTTGGCCCATGGTTTATCTGAAGCTGTTCATATCTTCATAATAAAATTTTATACAGTATGTGGCTTTACAGTTTAAAACTAATTTAGCACTTATTTATTTCTTATGACAGTGTTTAGAGGTAACTGGGCTGAAGATTATTGCTTTCATTTTACATTCATGTAGTAAATCACAGATTTGGCACCAGAGGTGGTCTCAAGAGCCCCTCCCACCCACTTCTGTAGTCCAGGAGACTAACGTTGCTGGAACTTGGGACCAGGTCTTGTTCTAGGTGTATGTTTTAACAGAGCCTTGCTGGTTTCCATGGCAGCTTTGCAGTATATTTGCTTATTAAGAACAAATTCATTTTAGCTTGTCAGAAAAGCACTTACTGAAATTCCCAGGTAGTTATGCCCATCTTTAGTCTAAAAGCTAATAACATAGGGAGAGAGCCTTTGAAGGAGGAGGTATAGAAGATTTCATTATGAGCTCTTATGACTGGCAATAATAGCAGTAAATAGCCAACATTTGTTGGATGCTTCTTATATATTAGCCAGTGCTAAGTTCTTTACATATTTGTCCATTTTTTTTTCTCCTTAGCAACCTAAGGGGGTATCTGGTTTTATTAACCCCATTTTTCTTTCTTTCTTTTTTTTTTTTTTTAAAGATTTTATTTATTTATTTGAGAGAGAGAATGAGAGACAGTACGAGAGCAAGAGGGTCAGAGGGAGAAGCAGACCCCCTGCTGAGCAGGGAGCCCTATGTGGGACCCGATCCCTGGACTCCAGGATCATGACCTGAGCCGAAGGCAGTCGCTTAACCAACTGAGCCACCCAGGCGCCCTAACCCCATTTTTCGAGCTAAAGATATTGAGACTTAGATAGGGTAGGTCATTTCTTTTGGGTAATACAGCTAGTCCCAGTATAGCATGGGCCTCAGACTTGGTGTGTCTGCCTTCCATACACTCTTAACTGTGATACGCCTTCACCTCCCACTATTACGGTTAGGCCTGTGTCGGGAGAGTTAACTGGGGAAGGCGGTCCCTGTGATGTGCCTTACAGGCCCTGGCCTGCATCGCTGTAACTCTTTTGAATTTTCTAAAGGGTGTGGCTGAGTTCATGAAAATAATTTCGAGGGAAGAACTCCAAAGATGATCACAGAAAAGATATAAATTTGAGCAGTTACTGTTTGCCTCTCTAGGTGTAGAAAGAAAAGAAAATGAAAAAGTGTGAGTAGGGTGCTAATTCTTACCAGGACTTTGCCAAGGACCTCAGCTTGGTTCAGAAAGTAACAGGAGACTCTATTTGTTGGTAATGCCTAAACTCAAATAATTTTGTTTTCAAATTACTGTCTCCATATTTTTCTTCATTTGTTTTACTTCTCACTCATCCATTTACTCACTCTTACTAAGCTACACATCCTGAGCTGAAAATATTTGATTCAGTGAGTGGGAGCGGGTAGAGTAAGAAGGGTGCAGACAGACAGCAAGAACGTGGCAGCCATGTTTGTGTGTCATAAGCTTGCCAGAGCGAGGGTGTTTGGACGAGGGGTTGAGGGGTGGGTTGTCCATGTATCACCCCAGTTGTAGTCACTCAGAGAAACCAGATGCAGTGATGAGAGCAGAGGATGATGCCAGAGCAGCAGTGCTCAGCGTTGGAGGGCGGAGCGCCACCACGTTTACCGCATAGCTTCGTAGACAGGCCTTCAGGCAGAGCTGATTGAGAACTCGCTTGTTGACCTCACTGTAGGTAGACCTCCTGTGGGAATGATAGGCCTTCCCTGCCTTGATAGGGAGATATAGGCTGCCACTTAGGTATGGTTTTTAAGAGAGTAAAAATAAAATCAGTCTCTACTGGTCTTTCACAGCAGGCCTAGTAGAGTACTGGTAACCTGGGTCTTTATGAAGAAAGTCTGTTTTCACAGTTGAGAGAGAAGCATTTTACTGTTCACTGACCAGAGTCTTAAAGAACATAAAAGAAAGATCCATTTGTGAAAAGAAAGATTGGTACCTGCTTCTAAAAGTTCTCGCTTCTAAAATTTTCTTAGTGTGAGGTATTTATAGTTAATATGACTAGATTTTTTTAAAAAGATTTTATTTATTTATTTGAGAGCACACGAGCTGGGGGGAAGGGTGGCAGAAGGAGACAGAGAAGCAGACTCCCCGCTGAGCTGGGAGCTCAATGTGGGACTCGATCCCAGGACCCCAGGATCATGACCTGAGCCGAAGGCAGATGCTTAACCGACTGAGCCACCCAGGCGCCCCAACATGACTAGATATTAAGCAAATGTATCAGAACTTGGTGTTTGCACATGAAGGTTGTCCTCACTGTCACCTGGGGATACTTTGTTCCAACATCTTGTTCCAGCTCTCCTGCCATCACTGCCCAAGGGAGAGTTGAATCCCTTCTTTGGAGTGGTCTTTTGAGCCGACAGTAAGTTCTTCAGGATATCTGTGTTTGTGGTAAATCTTTGTTTTGAGGACTAAATTTTTTAGGAAGAAATCAGCTAGAACCAGAATAGGTGATCAGGTTGAATAATACCATTTTTGTTCTTCTACCCTTCCTAAAAAGGTAAAGGACTGATGTTCTCTATCGGTTTTATCTGTATATGGGCTCAGGAGCTAACTCAGATGTTAGCCTCTAAGAATTGCCAAAATATTGGAAGAAATTTTTGCACATGAGTTTCTGTTTTGTTAAATAAGCCAAATAACAGCACATAGTTTGTGGCATTTTAATGAAAGACTTTTCCTGTATTTGTTTTTGAGGATTTGATTTTAAGCGGCAGTGTGTACACGGCTCGCTCTTTCTTCAAGGTATAATACACTTTTTGCCTCCTGGTTATTCTGAAAAACCTTATGGGATTCAGCAGTCAATTCACATTCATATGCTTTAAAAAGAAAACTTTGAAAAACTAACTCTTTACCACATTACTTGGGAAAGCCTGCTTATCACCTTTTTGTCCCTTTGATGAGTCACTTCCCTCCTGTGTAGAGAAGGCCTTCCTAAGGACCATAAAGGGAACTTCTTTTGGTTTTTTGGCTTTAGGCAGTAATATCTTGATGATCTGATTTCCTTAAATCCTAGAAAAACTTTTATCTTGTTACATGCCAGTGATTGTTCTGTAGAATTCCATAAGGGCTGCTTGGAGTGTGTCGCTTGGTGAAGTCTTTGTGATCAGATAAACCTATCTGTGGAGCTCACATCTCCACAGGCACAGTCAAGCTCAGTTGGTCTAGATGAAGTGAAGAATTACTTTCTTCACCAAAAATCACTTTGCATTTACATTTTCCCTTTAATGTATTTGCATGTGTGAGGTTTGTGTGGTGTGCATTCCAGTGGTTAAAGAACAGGAGATAATCCTGAAATCAAAGCTCACAGAGGGGTTATTTGCCTTTGAGTTCCCCGACTCCAGTGTGTTTGGGATTGTTTTACACAAATTCATGTCTTAATGAGTGTAGGCTTGGATTTTTTACATATGCTTTTCCTTTCATTCTTCTCAACCACAACTCGAGCTTAAACCATAATTTCTAAGTCAGCCTTTCAAAAGCTTTGAGTTAATCTCCTCAAGCCATTGATTTATTTAAACCAACTACAGAGAGGATGTAGAGATGAATCAAGTCAAAGAGCAACAACTACTCTCTAGAGTTTAAATAAACTAAGCAAGGGGGAAGGTTTTTAATGTCGAAATAGTTAAATAAGAGCATTTACCTAGCAATTTGCCTTCCAAAAAAAAAAAAATGTGGAAAGTAAGAACTGTTTTCTGGTGTGTTTTTTTTTTTTCACCATTACTTGTAAATCACTGTACTCAAGATAACTGGGAAGGAGAACAGTGTTACCATCTCCTTTTCAAATGCTGAGATGAGTAAACACATAGGGCAATATGGGCAGGAAACCTGTTCTTCCTCTCCCCTCCAACATCCCTGTGAAGGCGGGTCGATGGTGGTGAAGCCCTGCAGATAGGTAGCGCGGAGGCTTGGGTCGAGTTTAAAAGTCAGTTATGGAATCATTCGGGTGAAGAAGATTTCCCCTGTTAGCAATGAACTGACGGTACTAAGTATGTAAGAAAAGCGTGTAGTGTTTTCAGTAGAATTACAGAATTTATGTTACTCCGTATTTGCCCTTAATTTTTATGCCCTTGAACAGAAACATAATAGGAATGGCCAGCCTCCTATGTTTTCCATTTGCACAGTTACTTAAAGAGATAAGAAATGTAAGCCCAAAGGAGTGACTTCTAGGAAGTGCAGACACGCAACCATGGCTTCATTCCATTGGAACCATATTGCGGTAGATACATTCTCTTAGAATAATAAGCCCCTCCCCTTCAGCAGAGCAACAACACATATGATAGGGCCAAGAGGTCTGCTTTCACTGTGTTTGACCTAGACTAAACCACCAACAGTTAGCATCTTAAGCCAACAGATAATATATTCCTGCAAGATTCCTGTAGTTTTCAACAAGTGTTGAATTATAAGTAACATCTCTGCAAATAATTACATGTGACAGGAAATGTCATGACCCTGTTACCCTTTTGTTTATGGGATTTGGGGGGCTTGGGAAGTGCCAAGTGTCACAGAGTCTTTGAAGAGCCCAGGAACTAGGATAGGACTTTCAGGAGAGTAAAGATGCAGTCACCCCCCATTCCTGCCTTCTAGTTTTACTTTATTTCTTCCCAGGAATCTGTGCCTTCAGCATCCCCAACGGATACCCCCAAACACAGTATGAGGAAAATGACGAGCACGGAGGACCCGAAGGGGATGCGTTCCGAGGGGCTGTTCATGATGCCTCCTGCTGGGATGAGCCTAGGCGGCCTGAGGAGTGAGTCTGTGCTGAGTACCTCGACCAAGCAGCAAGGGCAACAAGCCGCGCCCTCCGCCAGCCAGGTTTCCAGTAGTCCAGGTAAAAAAGGAGAAAGGAGCTGCATGAGTGGGGAGTTCATGAGACTGTGGCAGCTGCCTCAGGGGGATGCATCAGAGTGGTAGCGGGTCTTTAGTGATAATCGGATTTTGATATTGCTTTAGAAAGCTTAAGAATCTTAGGATGTAGATTTTAGCAGTGAGTGACTTCTAAAATACAGTTAAATTAGCAAGACACAGTGTGAATAAAGGGATTTAGATGGTCTCTTAGGACTTTCTCCTTTAGGTCAAGGTAGTTGCCACAAGATGGTGATAGTACAACTAGAATGATTCCTGCATCCTTAGACACATCTTTGCAAGTCACTGTCAAGACACTGTTTTCTACTTAATTATTATTCTATTTAATTCTAAAAAAACAAAGAACTCTTAAAAGATATTAGTGTGAATTAGGTAACAACAGAGATACTGTAAGTAACAATTTTGCAAAGACAGGAGCCATCCAGTTATTGGTGTTCTTCTCTAGAATTTAAGAATTAGTCATTCCAGATGAGAGCCTGATTTTGGCCTTTTGGGTTTTTTTTTAAATTAAATTAAATTGAATTCAATTTTTTGTTTTAATTCTTGTATGTTAACATAGAGTGTTATATTAGTTTCAGGTGTACAATACAGTGATTCAACACTTCTTATCACCCTGTGCTCATCATGACAGGTGCTCTCCTTCATCCCCATCACCCATTTCACCCATCCCCCTACCACCTCCCTTCTGATAACCATCAGTTCTCTATAGTTAAGAGTCTGGTTCTTGGCTTGTCTCTCTCTCTCTCCCTCCCCACCCCCTTTTTTCTTTGCTTGTTTGTTTTGTTTCTTAAATTCCACATAGGAATGAGATCATATGGTATTTGTCTTTCTCTGATTGACTTATTTCACTTAGCATAATACTCTAGCTCCATCCATGTTGTTGTAAATGGCAGGATTTCGTTCTTTTTTATGGCTGAGTAATGTTCTATTGTGTGTGTGTGTGTGTGTGTGTGTATCACCTCTTTTTTTTTTTTAAGATTTTATTTATTTTTGTATGCATGAGAGAGAGACAGAGAGAGAGAGACAGAGAGAGTGCACAAGCAGGGGGAGTGGCAGAGGGAAGGGAGAAACAGATTCCCCACTGAGCAGGGAGCCCGACACGGGGCTCGATCCTAGGACCCTGGGTTCATGACCTGAGCTGAAAGCAGACGCTTAACCGACTGAGCCACCCAGGAGCCCTATATACCACCTCTTTATCCATTCATCACTTGATGGATACTTGGACTGCTATCATAATTTGGCTATTGCAAATACTGCTATAAACATTAGGCGCATGTATCCCTTTGAATTAGTGTTTTTGTATTTGGGAGTAAATACCCAGTAGCGTGATTACTGGATCATGGAGTAGTTCTATTTTTAATTTTTTGAGGAACCTCCATACTGGTTCCTGAGTGGCTGCACCAGTTCGCATTCCCACCGGCAGTGCAAGAGGGTTCCCCTTTCTCCGAATCCTCGTCAACACCTGTTGTTTCCTGTGTTGTTGATTTTAACCATTCTGACATGCATGAGGTGATAGTTCATTGTAGTTTTGATTTACATTTCCCTGATGATGAGTGATGTTAGCATCTTTTCATGTGTCTGTTGGCCATCTGGATATCTTCTTTGGGGAAGTGTCTGTTGATGTCTTCTGCCCATCCTTAAATTGGATTATTTGGGTTTTGTTGAGTTGTATAAGTTTTTATACTAACCCTTTATCAGATATGTCATTTGCAATATATTCTCCCATTCAGTAGGTTGCCTTTTAGTTTTGTTCTTTCCTTTGCTGTGCAGAAGCTTTTTATTTTGATGTAGTCTGGCCTTTTTGTTTTGTTTTTAAATTTATTTTTATTTTTTAATCTTTTTTTATTTAATTTATTTAAGCAGGCTCTGTGCCCAGTGCGGAGCCCAACTTGGGGCTTGATCTTATGACCCTGAGATCATGACCTGAGCTGAAATCAAGAGTCGGACGCTTAACCGACTGAGCCACCCAGGCGCCCCTATTTTTATTTTTTAATTTAAGTTATCTCTACACCCATCATGGGGCTTGAACTCAGGACCCCAAGATCAAGAGTTGCATGCTCCTCCCACTGAGCCAACCAGGCGCCCCTGGCCTTTTGGTTTTTAAATGTATTCTGGGTAGATGATGGATAGGATAAATTAGAGAGGGAAACAGAATGTGATTCACCACAAAAATCTGTCCAGTGCGATAAGGCTTTGAGAGATGTGGGACACTCACTGAGAAGGCTGTTGCCTGTCTTTTGTTCTATGCAAGGACTAATGGTACTAGGTACTACTCCCTGTAGTCCCTTGTGGTCCTGGAGGTGACAGGAAAGTGGCTTTTGGTTGGATTGATGATTAAATGAGATTATCCTAATCATCATCACAGTGCTGGTTGTTGAACACTTACTGTGTGCCAGATATCATGGCATGTTGTTCCATAAATCATTGCATTTGACCCCGTAGCACTCCTATAGAGTTTTATTTTTATTCTCATTTTACACACGAAGAGACAAGACTTAGATGAAGTAGCTTAACTTGCCCTGGGCTGTGCAGATAGTAAGTGGCAGAGTTGGACTATGAACTTACGCAGTTTGACCTCAGAGTCCGAATCCTTAACCTAAGTGACACTGTCTACCAGTCTCTATACATAATGTGCATGGAGCGTGGAGGGGGTGCGTACACAGTGCCACCTGACACTTGTTACCTTATGCCATTGCTGTGAGGACAGTGATGAGTAGGAGGAAGGCCAGCCTTCTGCATAGGCGGATGCCTATGAGAAATGATTTGGGATGTTGTAGAGATCGATGGAAAGATCTCTCTCCAAAAGTATTTCTCTTTCCAGTTTGCTGTTTGTTTCTGGAATTTCTTTGTTTGTGATTAAGATGGGATTAAAGCAGTGGTTTTCAAACTGCTCTGTGTATCCTTAGGGTTCCATGATGACCCTAGGGAATCTCTGAAACCCTTTACCCCCTCCCCCACCCCCTTCTACCAGATCAGTTCCACTTTTGTCTCTTCCACGTATTTATCAAAATAGTAAAAAATAAAGAACTGCTGTATTTATTTATTTATTTATTTTGTGTGTGTATGTGTTTTAATGTGCATTTATTTGATGACTAATGAGGTTGGATATATTTTCATATACATACTGGGATGATTTTCTTTTTGTAGTAAATTGCCTATCACATTCCTTGCCAATTTTCCTACTCACGTATTCTTTTCTTACAGATTTTCAAATCTTTATAAAGTGGGGCTGTTTCCCTAATATCTGTCAAATATATTGCAATTTTTTTCCAGTTTCTCCTTTGCCCTTTTTGTTCATGATGTCTTGTAGAACTCTTTAATTTCCATATAGCTAGATCCATTGTTACTTTATTTTGTGTGTTCCGCTTCTGATAACACACTCAGGAACACCTTCCCCATGTTTTATCATCCCATGGGACAAATACCCCTAATTATTTTTTAAAATAACTCAGAATTATTTTGTTAAGTTCCCCCCCCCCCACATACCTCAAAATTCCCTTTTCGGATTTTGATTGGGATTATATTAAATAAATAGATTAATTTGGTGGAGAATTTATAAATTTACAATTTTATATTAGACTATAAGCTTCATGAGGGTAAAGGTATTTGTATGTTCTGTTCACTGCTGTATCCTAGAATAATGTCCTGGACTTAGAAAAGTAACTGGTGCAGAGTAGGTGTTTTAAAAATATTTGCACAAATGACTTTTCAGTCTGAAGAACTGACATGTGTAGTACGGGCTGAATGCTGATGTTATAATTTGACTCTGCCCCTCTGCGTAGGGGATGAGAGAGGTGCCAAGCAGGCCCCTAAATGTGGACACAGTGAGATGTCCTAGGAAAGATGAAATGGGGCAGGAGGAAAGAACAGAGAGGACCCAGCTGAGATCAAGAGGGGAGGGTGATGCTGTTCAGATAGCGAAGGGCTTGGCAATTTTGGGGAGACAAAGGCCAGTGAGCCTGAGGCTTCAGGAGCAGGGGGCAGAATGGCTTGAGATGAAGTTGGAAAAGTAGGCAGTGGGCTTATGCAGGGTTTTATAAGGATTTAGGGGGAGTTTTACAGAAACAACTTTGGATTAAGCATAATCATTAAAGTGTAGGAGGAAGAGAATGTTATGGCTCATTTATTTTTTTAAGGATTACTCAGGTATTTTGCGGGCAGAATGGTTTTGTGAGGGCCAGAGGGAATGGCGTAGGTATATGGGAGGGGAGTTTCTGGGGGGCCAGGCAGAATGATGGTGGTTTGGATGAGATCGCTGGTACGGAAATGATTACATATTTGTTTGAGAAAAGAATTTCGTTGCTGGAAAACTTTGTAAGCCTCTGGGTTGCGTCCTCTCTACATGAGAGCCCTGTAGGATATCCTTGGGAGGGATGGCTGTCCAATCATGTCAGTCATAAATCCTTCAGGCTCAGCTCGTGTCTCAGGACAGCAGCATGTGCGTGACACGGAGGGGGAGCAGACGGGAAGTGTCTAGCGCAGGGAGCGTGACATAGGGAGGCCGTGGTGCCAGAGTGGAGACTTTTGGACACTCAGGTTTTTGAAGTGGACAGTTCTGAACATTTTCCAAAGACAGGATGAACTTTGTTTAGCTTTTTAGTTTTGTTCAGAGCGGGTCCTTTCTGGGTCTTACTTTCTTCATTCTCTCTCTTTCCGTGGGTCCATGTAGAAGACCACGTCTGCCTGCTGGACTGCATTGTCGTGGACCTACAAGACATGGACATCTTTGCTGCTGAGAGACACCCACGAGAGTATTCTAAGGCCTCAGACGACAGCAGTGGAGATCTGGTATTCCCTTCCTATTTTGTGCGGCAGACGGGAGGGAGTCTCCTCACTGAGCCTTGTCGGCTGAAATTGCAGGTGGAAAGGAATTTGGACAAGTGAGTGGTTTACATCTGGATAATAGTCTATCATAGGTAGAATCTTAATCACTTGGAAATCAGTGCTGTGAAGGTAAGTCTGGGAGAGAATAGGTGGTTTTCACTTATTTCTTCTATGTAGCAAATGTTTATTGAGTCCCAGCTGGGTACTAGATGTGAGGGCTACTGTGATGGGAAGGAAAACCTGTCTTTATGGAGCTTATGTTGTGTTGATATAGGGCTATAAGAAGGCAAATTAGAAGGTGATTCTAATTTAGAGTTTGACTCAGTGTTATAAACTGTGTTAGGGGATTGCCCCTGGGGCCTTGGAAACAAAGACAAAGGGGCATGAATGTAGCATGGCTTTTGGTGGACGTAGGGAGGTGGTGATGGCAGGGAGAGTATTTTGGAAGAGGTGACATTTGGATTATATGTTCCAAGCACAATAGATTCTGGACCTGGTGTTGCTACTTACCCTGGAGCTCCATTTAATCAGAAAAACTGTTGAGATGCAGTTCTGCCCATTTTGCTCCATTAAGCAATCTGAAAGTACTCCATAAAGGCTAATGAGCTGACTCTAATTTACCTTTTCATTGGCCTCAAACACAGGGTGCTCATTTCTGCAGATTAGAGCATTGCTTCAGTTGTCATTACTTCCATGGGATCGTCCGGGAAACGTCTTGAATATAAATGTTCCCAGACCCGACCTGAGACCAGCAGAACCTGAGTCTCAGGGCCGAGCCTCAGTACACGTGAGCAAGGTCCCCTGGTGGTGCTCATGCTGGCCTGGTCCACGCGCACGGCTGGGAGCTGCTGCACCCGGGGCACGATTGCCCCTCTGTTTGGGGCATTCATTTTGGAGAAAGCAGCAACGCTTGCATTTCAACTACAGGCAAAGACGGGGCGTGGCTGTCAAGTAATGGAAGATGTTCTTGTTTGCCGCATTTTGACAAGCAGGCTCGTTACTTGTGGGGAGTGTGATTTTAATCCGTCTTTGGCCACTCCCTTCGTGGTTCTTGGGTTTGGGCGAGCCATTTAATGCCATTTTTTGTTTCTCTCTGGATTAACGGCACCATGTAGCTGCTCTCTCTGGGATTTTTGCATTTCATTCTTACTTGTTACTTGAGTGCTCCCTGGCTGGCTCTCAGTTACGCTTGGCATGGGCTCTCTCTGGTTTTACTGGCCTAGCAGTCTTAGGAGGAGCTTCATTATTTAGAAATAGAACACTTTGTTTTCTTTTCAAGTAATGCTTTCCCCCCAAAAAATGTGTTTTGTTACTCTGATTATGTAAATTTGACCCTCTTCGCTTCCATCAGTGTTTATGTGCAGGTGATTATACTGTTTGCCCCAATAAGGTGGTGGTAACTCAGTATGAGATACCCTCTCAGCTGCTTGCACCACAGGAACAGGAAGCTGAGAGGGCGCCGGGTAGTCCTTTCCAGCTTTTTGTGTGGCTTGCATCACTGTTCTTTCTTTACTTGATCATGTATAGGTTTTTCTCTGCAAAGTAATTTTTTACATTCCTCTACTTTCAAACCCCGTCCTCTACTTTACATACGCAGACCATGCTGTCTGCAGGATCCATGGTGTCCACTTCTCCCCGGGAGGGTCGGGGAAAAGCTCTTCAGTGTGGGGACGAGGTATACTAACCCCTGACCCGGGCATCTCAACCCTACTCCTGCCCATCTCAGCAGAGACAAGTAATGGATTCAGACTTTATCCTGAAGTCCCATTTAGGTTTGGTATGAAACTCTGGTGTTCACCTTTAGTTATCATGAAATCTGAAGAGTTAAATGAAGAGACTGCCATTTCTTTATTGCCTCCCCAACTATAATCTTTAAGCTCTTCCTGGATCTCATGAGATTTTTCCTTATTAATAGTTACTTAGCTAACTCAGATTTGGGGACTTTATAAATGCCTATTTTAAGAGAAAAGGGGCTTTTTGTAGCTGAAGCAGGACACTCAGTTGTGCTCATGTGCTTCCTTTGGAGCCACATGAAATTTTTATTATTGGAATTTGGAAATGAACTGATGGATAATGTAGGCGGGTACCTTTTAGCTCTTTCTTACGTTTGGGTGTGAGCTTTGTCAGTGTTAAGTTGCTGATTTGTTTGCTAAAGTGACCTTTTTTCCTTTCCTCAGAGAAATAAGTCATACTGTGCCAGACATATCTATCCATGGCAACCTCTCCTCAGTCCACTGCTCCCTGGATTTGTACAAATACAAGCTGATCCGCGGTTTATTGGAGAACAACCTCGGAGAGCCCATAGAGGAATTTATGCGGCCTTACGATTTACAAGACCCAAGAATTCACGTGAGTGAGACCTCGTGCTGTCCCGTAACCCTTAACTCTTGCAGTCCTAGCTGATGGCCACCTCGTGCGTGGATCCCTCCAGCTCACCTGCAGAGAGAAATGGAACAAGCAGATTATTGTCTTGACATATTAACCCCCTTTTCAGATTGGCATTTTCCTCTTGCAGACTGTTCTCAGTGGAGAAGTGTACACATGCATGTGCTTCCTCATCGATATGGTGAATGTAAGTCTGGAGCTGAAAGATCCAAAAGGAAAAGAAAGTACTGGGTCCTTAGCCAGGTACGACTCTCATGGTACTGGTTTATGCCTCGTGACCGGCCTGGTGTAACAGTGTTGCAAACAGTACACGTTTCACTTCAGGGGAATTCGCTTTGGCCTAGAGCAGAGGTTGCAGAACGGAGGTTCGCTTCCGCGACTGGAGGTGGTCTGCACAGTCTTTTTGGTTGGTCTACGTGGTGCTTGTTCAAAGTTTAAATTCACTGCTTTATCAGTAAAGACAGGTTATTAGGGCGTTTCAGTGACCTCCACACCTGGTGCTGAAACCGATGCGTTTGAAAGAGCTGCGGAAATTATGCATAACTTTCCCAAGAATCTACTGGCGTTGGGTTTTTTTGTTTGTTTTTTTTGTTTTTTTTTTATGGCGGCACGGTTTAAAAAAAATTGTATTGTTGACACACAACGTTATGTTAGTTTCACGTGTACTACGTTGTGATTCAGCTTCTCTGTACGTTTTGCTGTGCTCACCACGGGTGCAGCCAACCATCTGTCACCGTAAGACATTACTACAGTACCGTGACTGTGTCCCTTGTGTTGTACTCTTGATCCCCGTGACTTACTCATTCCATAGCTGGAAGCCTGTACCTCCTGCCCCTCTTCGCCCATTCCCGTCCCCACCCCACTGAACTCCAGAACCACAGTCGTGGAAAGCTCCTGATGCTGCTAATGGTATCTGTAGAGTACCCCTTCAGCCTTGTGCGGTATCTGTACGCGTGCTGGGAGAGACGGAAGGGCCACCGCAGTTGTACGGTAGTTGCCTGGGGTGGGGTAAGGTGTAAGGCTTCAGTGGAAAAAGTTGTATCATAATACATTCCTAATGTAATCTTGCTGCCGTGCTGTGTCACCGACAGCTTAAAAAATAATAATAAATAAAAACTGCCGGGGTGGGGGCAAAAGGAGGTGACAGACAGGCAGACACAGCAGTGATTGAGAAAAATGAAGACGTTTTTCTCCTGATGCTGTGTGTCCCTGGTGGCCCTCAGGCTGTTCTGTGGCCATGGTCACTGTGGCTGACAGGGCAGCCAGCGTCTCGATGTGCCAGTGAGAAAGACGAGAGTCCCGGAGTGGTCTTGAATGGCACTTAAAGGTGTCGCACACCTCACGGAGTTAGAGCACGGTCCCACAGAGTGCAGAGGGGTCCGAAGTACAGGCTGGGGGTTGTCTGAGTAGGGGAGACCCAGTGCTAATCGGGGAGCGGCCCTGCTCACTGCCTCCCCGGCCAACATTTAAAAACTGGGGGACTTGACATCAAAAGTTTGGATTTCCGCCTCTTTTAAGAGTCAGAGCTCTTGAAAGCTTTGACAATACTGGGCCCATGTGTTCACTGAGGAGCAACTTGGGCTGCCTTTAGATAGGGCGTGTTTTGCCTGGTGACTCACTTTGTGTATCACTTGCACGGTCTGGGTGGACCAAGAATTTGTGATTACTGGTGTGGAACCTTGAAGACCGCATTGTGTTTTCACACCTGATAACCTTTTCATTTTGATCTCTTGACAATCATGTGAGGTTTGGCAGATATGACTTCTTTTTCTAGATGGAATTTTTAATCTAGTGTAAGATCATATGGCTGGAAAAGTGGTTCAGTATTTGAAAATAGGACTTCAAAGTCTAGAAATTTCCCTACTGAAACACTCCTTTCTTTCTCTTCTTTGTCTTTCCCTTGAGAATCCATCCTGGCCTATAACTAACTCAGTTGAATCAATGGTATAATGAAGCTTGTGTCCCAGATTGTCTTGTAAGCCAGCATTTTTTTTTTTTTTCCTGATGACTAGCTATGCCCTTAGTTTTTTACAAAATGAAATAATTCTGTACGGAATGTCATGATGGTACTGAATAAATTATGAATTGCACGTTGCAGCTTTCTCTGTTATTAAAAAAAAAGGCAGTATCAAATGCGCTTCCTCTTGGTGGATCAGTTGCATTATTTCTCTATATGAAGAGTATTATTTGTTCTGGTCGCTTCCAGGAAGCTATAGTTGTTAAATAAAAATTTGGCAGACTCTGGAGAGAGAACCCTGCAGGCAGGCTAGGAGTTGACAGATGAAGGTCTAAAGGGACCCTTCACATCCCTCCGGGATTGTTACACATATATAGCCTTCTCAGACTTGAGATGAGAAAGGAGAATGCTAATGCACCCAGAGCATAGTAGATAACGTTATTCCTCATGGAGTTCCTGTGGACAAGATCATCTTCCTGGAAATGAAAAGTAAGAGGGCACAGTGACACTAAGTCCTTCTTGAGGAGTCTGTTAACAAAATCAGTGAAAGTTACTCTCCTTCATAAAACTCAGGTGTACTTATGATTTTGTTCTGTTGTCTTGAACTTAGTTTTGTGAAATGGAAGAGTTTAGTATCTTGTCTGCTTTCTCCCTTTTAGATTCGACTTCAAGAAATGTAAACTGCTCTATGAAAGCTTTTCCAACCAAACCAAGTCCATTAACTTGGTTTCCCATTCCATGATGGCTTTTGACACCCGCTATGCCGGGCAGAAGGCCAGTCCTGGCATGACAAACGTATTCAGCTGTATTTTTCAGCCTTCCAGGAACAGCAGCACTACCCAAGGATCCATTCAGATGGAGCTGCATTACAGGTAATGGATCCAGACCCTGACTCTGCATTTCTTTATCAAGAAACTTCCTTTTGTGGCCGGTGGGCCAAGGCTCTGTCAGCTGTAGAATATCACAGGACTGAGGAGTCACTGAAAAGATAAATAGAAAATGGCTCACCAGTGCCACTCACAGCGTGTTAACTTAGTATTCCTACCACATTGCAGTTGCATTTATTGGCCAAAAGATGTCTCTTTTGCCTTAAAAAAAGTTTAGAATTAGACCAGAGTCTTAAAATCAACCTCCCTATAGACTGTTCTAATATGTAAAGTGAATTGAGGCAGGAAGAAATGACTCTTGTTTAAGGGGAAAGAAGACGTTTGGTCTGTAGAAATTATAGGAAGGAAGGTGGTTTTGACTTGCATTATAGATTTATCTACACACATCTTGCTAACCCACTTCTCCATTTAAAAGGGTGTTAGCCTCTTTGGACTAGATTATGTTTCTCTTCCTGGTATTATGCTAGGAAGTGGTGTGTGTGTAATGAGTGTATGTTTTGGAATCGTACAGATCTGGGCTCAAAACCTTGATCTGCCACCTTCTGGCTATGTGTCCTAGGACGAGTTCAGCTACTTTGACCCACAGTTTTCTTCTCTGTAAGATAGAAGAGGATGACTGTACCCACCTCACACGGTGGAGGCAGTAATTCTGTAAGTAAGTAATTCTGACCTGTTGCTTGGCACAGATGGTAGCTCTTATTATTATTACTGATGTAGCTGGTGTTATTTATGATACACTACTGTAAGGTTTTAGGGCTAAGTGAGGATAGGCCTGAAAACTGAGAAAAATTAGATTTGATCTAAAATCCTCCATCGCTTCTTGCCCTTTTGGCTAAGATCAAGTGTAGTATCTGTTCTTATCAGTTTAATATCTGATCTAAAATCCTCCAATGCAAATCCAGAAGGAGACCTTTGGAAGCAATGCCAGTTCTATTCTATTAGTGCTTAATGTTACCAGATATGCTGTAAATACAAACTAGTGAATAAGAAGGCTGGGAAAAACTTCATGGAAAAAAAAGATCAAGATTATTCTTGTATTCATATACTTGAATGTACTTGACATTTCAGTGTGCTGCACAGTGAATTCTCAGGGTTGAGATTTCTTTTAGGGAGAGGTTGTGGTCGCTCTCCATATGCATTTAGGAAGTCTAGCAAAGTAGACAGACCTTTTCCTGAACGTTTTGGATGTTCAGAAATGAGAGTGCTCATTGCCTCTTACTGAGCCCTTCCAGGAGCCAGGCATTCTCCCTACTTTTATACTTAAATCCTCCTGGCAAGTCTGCAAAGTGGGTGACTTCTGTCCAATTTTATAGCTGCAGCAATAGAAGCTAGGAGGGCATTGCGTACCTCTCCAAGGTCACACGGTGGATGAGTGAAGTGGTCAGGACTCGCACCAGGGCCTTTGATCTTAGCGCCCACGTCCCTTCAGACAGTCCTCAGGTGTGGCCACTGCGTGTCTCATGATCTGGCTGACTGCAGTCGGATGCTAGGCTGGCTGTGATTTGCGGTTCTTTTGTTTGAAGATGTTTATCTGAGCAGGAGGCTTCCAAATATTTGGTCCTTCTGCAGAAACAATTTCTTTTTGGGTTTGCTATATTATTATTGATCTAGCTTCCTAATCTATCAGCTAGTTGTCTCACCGATCACATTTTTAATATACAAGGAGCCTTGAAATATTACTCTGTTTATATATTGGAGGTGTGTAATTTCTTGGAGCCAAATGGTAAAGTCTTACCTTAGCTCTTGTGAACAGAAATACCATTGTGAGTGAGAGGGGGTTAACATGTTCTCTTGATTGGAACTTTTGAACGCTTTCTGTGTCTCAAGAAGAATTGCTCTTCTGTTGGGATTTTGTGTGTCAAATATAAATCACTTCACAGTGTTTAAAGGCTTGAAATATTTTCCAGAAAAGGGTATCAGACATACTTTGACTTTTCAGTTAGTGCATAACTCTGACGATCTATGTTCAAAATGGGGTGGAAAAATTTTACTGAGGGCAACATTTTTTCTCTAATATAAAAGAGTAAAGTGTTTCTGTGAAAAATGCTGTGTCTGTATGAGGGAGACATGCATCACTGTGCCCTTTCTCTAGAGGCAGTGAGCCAGGTTTAGGAGAAACAAGAGACTAGAGAAGCCAGACTTAAAAACATCTCAGAATCAGCTTTTGCTGAATAGGAACCCCTTTGGGGGGAGGTAACCAGGTACGGGTAGTAGCTGGAGCCCCAGAGTCACTTTTGGGCTCATAGAACAAAGTTCAACCCAGAAAACCATATAAAGGTGTCCTGAGCCCACTTTCCTTCTGTCCTACCCATTTCTGCCCACTCATATTCTAGTGGGGCCATACCAGGGTTTGAGACGAGGCTTGGGGTCCTCCTTGGGCTTTTACCTCAAATAGAGAATTTGGGGTAATAGGGCCTACAAAACCAGTATTGTCTCTCTCCTTCCGCCAACGCCACTTCCGGGGTGCTTGGGGTTATGCCCACATATAAATGTCATCTTATTTGTCCTCCTCAAGCTAAAGATCTGCGCTCTCTGGTCAGATCCAGCTGGAGAATTAGTACTAGTATGTACATTTGATGTTTGTAAAGAAGTGATCCCCCAAACATCAAAGAAAGGGTGCCTCACTGATCTTGAAATAGCCTATAGGGAAAGCATCTAACATTCACCAAACACACACCTGTTATCTTTTACAGTGTTCATATTTCTCATTTTGTAAGTGAGGAAATAGGCTCAGAGAAGGTAGGCGACTTATCCAAGGTAACACAACTTGTAAGTGACTGGATTTGAGCCTGTGATCTTTCTACTGCACCAGGATTTCTCAGCTTCGGCACTGTTGACATTTTAGGTTCGATACTTCCTTGCTGGGGGGCTGTCCTGTCCGTTGCGGGATGTTTAGTAGCATCCCTGGCCTCTGCCCACTAGATGCCCATAACAAACCATGCCCCCACCCCATGTTGTGACAAGCACAGATGTCTCCAGACACTGCCAGAAGTCTCCTGGGGGACAAAATCACTCCTGGTTGAGAACTGCTGGATGACACTATACTGCTTTCTTACAGCATAAAAATGTGATTAGCTTTTGAAAACGCACACTGAATATCTTATTAAACCAATGTTTAGAGTTTATTGATACCCAGAGTGGTCAATTTAAAAAATACTGGAAAAACACCTACCCATGCTGAGTAGTATACTTGCAAGTTAATAAAATACATTTCTCTTTTCCTGTTTTTTTTTTTTTTTTTTTAAATCTTTTTCCTTGCAGATCTACGAAGGATTCATCCTGTTTTACGGTAGTTCTCAACAATCTGCGCGTGTTCCTCATATTTGACTGGCTGCTGCTAGTCCATGATTTTCTTCACACTCCCAGCGATATTAAGAAACAGACTAATGTTACTCCTTCTCGCCACCGTAACTCTAGCAGTGAATCTGCTGTAGTCCCCAAAACTGTGAAAAGTGGAGTAGTTACCAAGCGGTCTTCTCTTCCTGTGTCTACTGAAAGGCACCTGGAGGTCAAGGTCAATGTAACAGGTGAGCATATGTAGGTGTGAGTCACTGATTCTCAGTATGCATGTTAGGCTCAATATGTATCTTCTAGGATGATTTGTCTATCACCTCTGTATTTTGATGTGAGCACTTACACATTTGCATACAGACCAAGAGACCAACAGGTGTCGAAATTCTTGACCTCCATTTTCTGGTGTAAACTGCTGGCTCACATTCAGGCTGCAGGGTTCTGGGCCCTCTGCTCGGCCTGTCCATGGCACATGCCCAGCTTGAGTACTGCCTGGCCAGTGGTGTTTTCCCCAAGTGTTAAATCTGGCTTCAATTTTCCGTTTGATCTTCAGTGCTCTAACAGATGTGCCTTACTGAGTTTAGGCAAATCTGATGTGTGAAGATCTGTGTAAAGATAAACAAGTGAGGGGATCGTTATTTTCTTTACAAAAAGAATATGTTCCTTTACAAACAGATTTACTGTGGTTTTTGTTAACTAGCGAACTCTCCTAGTAGATCTGTATGTATTTGTGTGTCTGTTGTGTTTGTGATGTAGCCCAACAACTGCTCAGTGGTTTGGAAGAAACTGGCCAGCGCAGTGCGCTTTAAATGGATTTAGTTTCAAAAGTTCAGTCTAAACATGGATTTTGATGAAAATGAAAAGTAAATTTGCCATGTACAAACGAGTAGAAAACTGCATTTAGTAATTTCTAAAAAATCTACGTTAAATTAGTATATGTTCTTTGTAAACAACTTGAACAGCTATGTAGATGATGTGCTTTCCACTGCCTGACCAGCATTAGGACGTGTATCTATTTCTGGGATTTTAAAACAGGTCATTGCTTGGAGAAGGGATGATTTCCTGGGCTTCTGAAATATCTCATAGTCCTCCCAGGAGACTTAGCTTAAAAATACATTCTAAAGATTTTTTTTTTAATTTATTCATTTGAGAGAGAGAGAGAGAGCAAGCCAGAGCACAAGTGGGGGGGTGAGGGGGGCAGGAGGGGCAAAGGGCAAGGGAGAAGGAGACTCACTGCTGAGCGGGGAGCCTGACATGGGGCTCGATCCCAGGACCCTGAGATCATGACCTGAGCCAAAGGCAGACGCTTAGCCGACTGAGCCACCCAGGCGCCCCTTAAAAATACATTCTAAAGAGAGAAAAGAAACTGCATCCCTGTCTTTTCTGCCTGTGCTGTACTCTTTTGGCTCAGCTGGGCCTGGCCAGATACAGAGAATTTGTTCAGGGTGGCAGGGAAGCAGAGTGTCGACAACCATCCTGGAGAACAAGTCTTGTTGGCTAATGTGTTGTGTGTTGTGTGTTGTTCCCCACCCCCCCGGTGTAAATGCATTGCCTAGTTTGCAACAGCGTGGTGCTTTCCAGCTTCCCAGCTTCCCAGCTTTGGCTTGGTTGATAATACTGTCCTTTCCAGGCACGGAGTTTGTGGTGGTTGAAGATGTGTCCTGCTTCGATACCAATGCCATTATTCTCAAAGGCACCACCGTGCTCACCTATAAGCCACGATTTGTCGATCGCCCCTTTTCAGGGAGTTTGTTTGGCATTGAGGTAAGAAGTCTATGTGTCGATAAAAAATGAAATGTTTGGCTTAAGAGGAAGCATTTGGAAGAGAATTTTACCTCCTCAGCTTTCATTAGGGGAAATAATTGATGGAGTCAGTGAACTCTGGCCCCCCCTCTTCATTTTGTCCTCAAATCTGCCAGGTTATCCTTATATGTGAAATCAGTCCTCCAGTGTCAGGCTGTAAATATGCCGAGAGACTGGACCTCTTGCTCTTACATCATCCCTTGAGAAGTTTGGCGAGACTCTTCTAGTCCCTAGTACTCTGTCAGGCCCTTCCCCTGCCCTCAGCATCTACGGGTCTAGTACTGGGCAAATTAGTCAAGTTGGGGAAGTGGTCCTCATTTCCCCACGTCACCGTCCCTGCGTTGAGTTGTCTCTGTGAAGACCTAGGGCTTTGTGGTCTTGGCAACTTGTTTATAAAAGGTGTGAAGGATTTTATGTATAGTCCTTTTAGGAATATCTAATCTGTAAAAGGATATCTCT